TCCTGAAAGTTTCATTAAATCTCATCCAGTAATTCATGAGCTGTTTTGGTAAAAGACACACACACACACACACACACACACACATGAGCATGTGGCAGGTGGGGGATAATAAAACGTATTTAGATCAAAACTATATTCATTAAAATTTGGTTATTATTATTTTTTTACTTGTAACTGGGTAACTAAAAATACACATCTTTTCAGTGCAGCATTATGCAATCTTTTTATTTTTTTTATTAACCATAAAATAATTGGAAGTTCTTTTTTTTAAATCCACTTTGTAGATCTTTTTTATTTTTTATGGTCCTTTTTTATCTCTGCTACAGAAATGTGCCTGGGTGATGGGAAACAGGGTTATAGCAAGCATTAATCTTTAATATCCAAATTTGTGCAGTGCAACGATTCAATTTTCTGCACTTTGTACGATCCACTGTTGGTTTCTAGTTTTATTTATACATCTAATGACATTTATTATTTATTTGTTTTTGAGAGCTGTGGTTTTGATGCCTTTCTGTTGAGAGAAGGAAATGTACGTATGTAGCAGACTGGGTCCTTCTACAAACTGTACTGTCCTTGTAAAAAATGCATTGAAAACAAATGTTTTTACTGTGATAAAGCAGTGGGAATGCTGAAAGTTGAATGACTTTGCTAAATTTTATTGAAAAAGACTAGTTGTTCAAGCTTAAAAAGCAGAACACTAGCTAAATGCTACCACACTATGTGAACATTAAAAAGTTAAAAAGCTATCTAATAACTAATTGTAGCAAAAGGCTATCTTATTTATTTTCTTTCAGCTTTTCCCTCTTCAGGGGTCTCCACAGCGAGTCATCCTCCTCCATCTCACTTTGTCCTCACTCCAACTACCTCCATGTCCTCTCTAACTGCATCCATATATCTCATCTTTGTATTTTTCCTGGCAGCAGCATTTCTAACATCCTTCTACCAATATACCCACTGTCCCTCCTCTTGACATGTCCAAACCATCTCAGTCTGGTCTCTAACTTTACCTCCCAGTTGTTCAACCTGTGCTGTACCTCTGATGATCATTCCTGATCTTATCCATCCTTGTCACTCCTAAGGAGAACCTCAACAGCTTCATTTATGTTACTTCCAGATTTGTCTCCTGTCTTTTTGTCCATGTCTCTGTCTCCAGACCATACAACATAACTGGTCTCACCACTAACTTGTAAACTTTTCCATTGACCTTTGCTGACACTCTTTTGTCACAAATCACTCCTGAAACTTTTCGCCATCCACTCTATCCTGCATGGACTCTCTTCTTCTCCTCTTTACCACATTCCCCATTTTCCTGGACAGTGGACCCCAAGTCCTTGAAGTCCTGCACCTTTGTGACCTCTGCTCCTTGTAGCCTCACTGTTCCACCTCCTCCCTCTCGTTCACACACATGTACTCTGTCTTACTACGGCTGACTTTCATTCCTCTTCTTTCAAGTGCATTTCCTCCACCTCTCCAAGTTCTCTTCCACCTGTTCCCTGTTCTCACCACAGATCACAATGTCATCTGTAAACATCACAGTCCATGGGGATTCCTGCCTGACCTCATCTGTTAGTCAGTCCATCACCAGAGCAAACAAGAAGGGGCTCAGAGCCGATCCTTGATGCACTCACACCTCCACCTTGAAGCTATCTGTCACTCTTACAGCACATCTCACCTCTGTTCTGCTGTCCTCATACATGTCCTGCTGTCCTCATACATGTCCTGCTGTCCTCATACATCCCCTGTACCAGTCTAACATGTCCTGCTGTCCTCATACATGTCCTGCTATCCTCATACATGTCCTGCTGTCCTCATACATGTCCTGTACCAGTCTAACATCTCTGTCACTCCAGATTTCCTCATGCAATACCACACCTCTTCCCTCGGCACTCTGTCAGATGTTTTTTCTAAATCCACAAAGACACAATGGAGTTCTTTCTGACCCTGTCTGTACTTCTCCATCAGCATCCTCAAAGCAAATATGGAATCAGGTGGTGCTCTTTCTCAGCATACAACTGTACTGCTGCTCACAATAGTCACCTCTTATTTAAATCTAACTTCCACAACTCTCTCCCAGATCTTCATTGTATGACTCATCAACTTAATTCCCCTATAGTTGCTACAACTCTGTACGTCACCCTGTTCTTAAAAATGGGCACCAGCACACTTCTTATCCATTCCTCAGGCATTTCTCACCCTCAAATATGCCATTGAATATGTGAGCCAAAAACCTCACTGCCATCTCTCAAAGACATTTCCAAACCTCCACTGGTATGTCATCAGGTCCTACTGCCTTCCTGTTCTTCATTCTTTTCAGAGCTTTCCAGACTTCGCCCTCACTAATCTTTCCTACTTCCTGGTCCACAGTTTCATGACCTACAGTCTTCTTTCTCTTTCATTCTCTTCATTCATTAGCTCCTCAAACTACTCCTTCCATCTTCCCATCACACCCTTCTCATCTGTTAGAACATTACTATTCCTATTTCTTTAACAAGCCCAACCTGCTGCACATCCTTTCCAGCCTGATCCTTCTGTCTTGTCAGTTGGTACAAGTCCTTCTCGGAGTCTCACCAGCTCCTAATCCAGCTGTCTCTGCTAACCCAAACATATGATTCATGGGCAGAGTTAACATTATCAGCCTTTTGAATTTTAAACTTCTTAATAGTTAAAATATCCATAACCTTTGACCAAAAATTCCTTAACACTTTGCTAACTCTTCCTTCAGGAACACTCTTACTCCATTTCTGTTCCTATCCACACCAAACCCCACTCCAAAGCTGTGAGCCTTGCTGCCCTTCTACTTGGTCTCTTGAACACATAAAATATCTACCTTCCTTCTCCACTTCATGTCAGCCAGCTCTCTACCTTTGCCTGTCATTGTCCCCACTGTTGCCGTCCTCAGTCCTACATTCTTGACTTTCCTCTTATCCATCTGTTTCCTGACACATTTAACTCCTTGTGGTCTTTGAATAACAGCACAATTTCCATCTGCACCCTGTTTGTCAACAGCACTGGTTGTGGTCGTTGATAACCCGGGCCTCGACCAGTCCGGTATTGTGCTGCTTAGATGAACTTGCATATTAGTGTTGGCAAAAGTGTTTTATGTCAGATGCTCTTCCTGACACAACCCTCACCATTTACCCAGGCTTGGGACTAGCACAAGATATACTGGCTTGTGCTCCCTAGTAGCTGGTTCAGCAATAAGCTACATCTAAAAGCCAAAAACACCTAAATGCTGACTAAGAAAAAAGTTGGCTGATCCTTATCCACAGAAAACTAAAAACAGAGAGGTGATGGAACATTGTCTCCAACACAGTTGGCCTACTGTCAGTGGGTATGTTTACATGGACATAAGTAACCGGATCAAATGGCAGGTCAGAATAAAAACGTGTCATGTAAACACTCCGTTCGGGTTATTTTTTGTGTATTCGGCACGATCCGATATAATTTGTGATCAGAACGAAACGGGTGGTTTACACCGATCCGTAACCCGATCGGTGTGCATGTAAACGCTTGATCTGTTCGTTTTTATCTGATCGTGAAAAACTGACCTGACTGCGCATGTGCGATTTTGCCATTTCCGCCTGGCTAATGCTAATAATATTAGCATGTCAGGGGAGCAAAACTGGTCGGTGTGTCTATAACTATTTTGTTCCCCTGCAGGCGGGTTTTATTTAATCAGCTATTTAGCTTCTGAACAAACAAATGTTTGAAACTTCAAAGCAAAAGGGTAAATACATATGCACACATCACTTTTCAGTTTTATATTCTGTACAGTTATTTCTACGTACATCTCCTCCCCATGTTTAACTTTGTCAACTTGGAATATTATTGCAGAAATTAAAATCCAATCCAGGACTGTGTACCTGCTTGTATGTTTTATTTTACAGTACATAGTTAAAAGTAAAGAAACTCTGGTTTCAGGTGGGGGTGGTTGTGTTTGCAAGAGACATTTTTATTTCTGATAGAATCATTAGACCAGAGAGTTTTCACGAGACACAAACTTGACAACTTTGTGCACAAAAAAGTAACAAAAGTAAATTTAAGCAAAGTAGCACAAAGGTTACATAAAAGTATCAAAAGTTTATAATTAAAAGCTAAACGTAGCAAAATGGTAACCATAAGCTAAAAGTAACAGATGGCTATCTAAAAGGTAAAGGTGACAAAATATTAACTAAAGACAGAAAATGCCTAAAAATAATAGAAGACTAAATAAAGCTAAAAATTACTAAATATTAGTTAAAATCTAAAAGCAGCAAAAGGCTACATACAAGCACATAGTATCAAAAGGCTAGCAAGAAGCTAAAAGTGGCATAAGAAGACAAAAGAGAGCCAGTGGCTGTGGCAGACTTTGAAGAGAACAATGTTCTTAAAAGAAGTAAAGTGATCTCAAAGTTCTTTGAAGGAGAAAACATTTGAAACATAAAGTTAAATATTTAAAAAGTATAAAAGTTATTGCACCCATACTGGATCCTGAATGAGTTGAATCTTTCGATATATGAATGGCTGAAGAAGCACAAAATGTGCAGTGGTTTGACTGAAAGAAATCCTATGAAAAAAATAAAGAACAAGAACAAAAAACCTCAGCATTCACCTTAAGAATAAAATACATGGAATACTGTCTCTGCTTTGCTACAATTTTCTCCATTTACGTTTCTCAGTGAAAACAGGCTGGAGACTCTTCAGCAAAGGCTTCTGTTGTTTTGATCTGTAGTCACTAAATATGTCTACTTGTATAACCAAAAGGGTTTTGCCAGTATCTTTTGTTGTCTCTTTCAGTTCCAGATTAAAGTCTTGCACCACAGTCTTATTTTTAGAATCAACCTGTGTGGGTGTCTTCAGCCCATTGTCAGTTTTTACATCCCTTTCATTCTGAGAGTGTTTCATTTATCTTTGTATGTTTTTATGTTTATTTTTTACAGGCCAGTACTGAGCAGAAGAAGCTGAGCCATGCTGAATCCAAGCCCTCCCTCTCTGAGAGCAGCAGCCGACTCCCTCAGATAGCCATGAACACCTGCAAGTACAATGGCGGAGTGGTGAGACCACTAGTGGGCAGCCTGGCATCCTCGTCGCGCCGCAACCTTGCTGAGCTCGACTCGGAGACCCAGCCCTTGCAGACGCTGCACAGCTCTGGCCTGGAGGTGGTGGTGTCAAAGGGAAACGCTGGCGAAGACCCCAGTAAGGCATCCAATGAGAGCTTGGTCAGGGAGGGTGGTGGGCGAGGCGGGGGCAGGGCACCCCAGAAGAAGAACAGGGACATTGGCTACAAGCTTGGTCACCGGAGGGCGCTGTTCGAGAAGAGGAAGCGGCTCAGCGATTACGCACTCATCTTTGGAATGTTTGGGATTGTCGTCATGGTGACAGAGACAGAATTGTCATGGGGGGTTTACACTAAGGTGAGTTGTGTGTGTGTATGTGTGTGTGTGTGCTTGAGTGAAACACAAGTGTAACTGATGATTATTGCAACTTTTGAAGTTTTTAGATCACTTTTATGCAGAGCTGATGTGGATTATCTGGTATGACTCAAATATGATGGAAGTGTTCTTGTTCAAAGTGCAGCAACTCTAATCAAACTTTCAGTTTAAACACAGACAGTAAGGAGAGGGAGATGCAACAAATTTAAGTCAGGTCTTCTGGATGTTTTTTTGTTGTTGAAAAGTTTCATCCTTCATCCAAAGGACTTCATCAGTCCGAGGAGCCACAAACTGAGTCCCACAAGCAGCACACTCACACAGTGGGCCAACCAGTTTGATGGTGATAAGATGGTTTCTGGAGTCCGCCCTCTCCCCCGTCAACTTCTCTGAGGCAGTCATAACCAAAGTGGTTCAAAACAAAGTTCATGCTCAATAATCCATGTAAAAAAATCCAACAAAGCTGAGTCAGGTCCTCTGGCCAGTAAGAAACCGTCCACCTGGATTATTGAGCATGAACTTTAGTGACAGAGAGATGTTTAACCTCTTTCCATATGGAAATGGTGTTTTATGGATACACAAACATTTTTTTATTATTTCAGGATTGTTTCCACACACAAACAGAATTTTTGTAGCTCCTGAATTGTATTCTTTTTAAAACCAGGTTCCAGAGTGGGGAGAATCTTTAAACACTACCATTGATTTCTCTTAGACAGCCTAAATGAAAGTGTTGTCATAGTCACACACCCTTACCTCATCTACAACCTCTTGAAAAAAAAACAAAAAAACCTTACAACCTCATGCTTTACAGAAGTAACAAGATTACGTGGTCACATAAATTGGGGACAGTTTTAAAAGATCTAAACCAGTGTATAGTTGTAAGTATAGGCTCCTCTGCATGCTCTGCCTGAAACTTCCATGTTGTTCATGGATTTGAACTGTCGGCACTCTAAGTAAATTGTAATTTAAAATGTCAAAAAGTAGAAGTTCTCTGTCCTCATCAGCCTACAAATATGATTAGTCTTTGCTCTTGTAACTGCCATCCTCATGTTTTCTTATTGTGTTGAGAGTTTGGAGCATATGCTCAAGGTATTATTTCTTCATTATTTCAAGGTACTATTTCTTGTTTCTGGTGTATTTTTGTGGCAGCATATTGCAGCTCCACATGCAGGCCAGGCATAGGTACTGCAGAATTTGGGTTTGTGTTTCTGCGTGGATGAAAATGTTAGAAACACTGCTGTATTTATGAAGAACATGATTATTTTGAAAATATAATCCCATTCCACAGGGAAGCAGCCTTAGTGGAACAGAACATTTACTGCTTGACTTCATAATTTACGAGCTGAAGTGAAACAGTCATAGGCGTCACATTAATTATATATAAAGGAGACATTTCCCCCTCACATTAAAAAAAAATTAATTTGGATCCCACCAAATTTACCTTGAAATGTTAATTCACCCAGTGCTGTTTCTATTGCTGCCTGAAATAATCTATTCCACTTGATTAATACGAGAACACTCAAACCACTAAACTAAAAGTCCACTCCGGGTTTTCCTGGTTACCTACAACAACTCACCACAACGCATGCAGTGTTTCCCCGAGATCACTTACCTTGTCAGGATGCTCATCTCTTCAGGGGGTTTTGTTGACGCGGTGTGGGGGAGACACCTCTGTATTGTACGCTAGCTTAGCACGTTAGTGCCGGCAGTTGTTGACCGAGGGGGTGTAGGATGTTTGAGAGGCAGAGTGTGATCTATTCACACAAGTAGAGTAGTACAAAAGTACTAAAAGTACACCTACACATGTAGGTGTTGGTCAAGCTTCTTCTTGTTGTGCCGTGCTCTTCAGCTGAGGCTGAAAGAAGTTTTAGTGCTTCAAGAAGGCTTGAGACATGGCTTCACTCATCCAGTAACATTTGAACAATCTGCCACATACGTCAAGATTAGGGGTTGAACGACTACATAAATTTTAAACTCGACATTAACATAATAAAACTCGAGTAGAACTCGCTTACTTGATGACATCATAGGATCTAAAGCTACAACAATAAAAAAATAAATAAAACTGCAAAAAAGGTAATTATTTACAAAAAAAAAGACCAACAAAACATTGGAAGTGTATATTATGCTCCTACCATTTATCATCCTGGAAATGAACCAAAACTATTAGTTATTATTATTATTATTATTATTAAGCTGCAAAAACTGAAAGAAACTTGCAGCACGTCAAAAATGAAACTAAAAACTGTGGGGCAGACGACCACCCTGCACCACCGCCAGTTGTGGTGCGCATTAAGTTTACTTTTAGAGATTAATATGTTTATAGGTTTTTTATAGGTTTAGAGATGAATATTTTTTGCTTTTTGTTTGTGAAACAAAGTCAGAGGAAGCTGGTTCTGGTTCGGTCATTGGACCCGGTGTTACAACATATTCTGTGACCTGCAACAGTGCGTGCAACACTGCCCCCTACGGTCACAATATACGGTGATCACAAAATATGGTGTAACACCGGTTCGCAACGAGCTCCAAACAGTCAGGAAGTTGATTCATTTTCTGTTTCCTTACGGTAGTTGAACCAGAAGATTCATCTTTAGTGAAATATTTCCAGACTATTGATGCATTTCTACCTGTTTGCCAAGACTGGACCTGCTCTGCTCCATCTGTCTGCTTGGAGGAATCCATTTTGTAACCCGCGCCCAGTGCAGATCACGTGTCATGTGACGCAATGACGTAACGCAATGACGTCACCACGAATACTCGACGTGAAATGAAAAGACTCGATAGATGTCCTAGGAATCGATGTGTTGATTACTCGAGAAGTCTGTTAAAGCCCTAGTCAAGATACAGTAGATTTGATCAGGTGGACATGAGGGAGATTTGCCAGTCTTTTGTGTCTGTAAATGACAAAAGGTGGCACATTTTGGAAGTTTTGTCTAATCTGAGCAGGAAGAACTTGTTTTGGTTTGTCTTTGCCCTAAGATTTAAAAAGTCCAGCTGATGGCGTTATAGGGAATACCTTGAAGGAGAAATACTGTATCATGTTAGGGAGAAATAACCCAAGTAACACAAGTTTTATGGAAATTAAAATTGGGAAAATCAGTGATGGAGAAGGAGTAGTGGAAAGGAAAACAATTAAGGGAGATGGATGTTAATCCAAGAGGATTGTGAAATCAGAGTCAGAGAGATTTATTTGTCATCCACACCACACATGATACATGAGGTGGGACGAAACTATGTACGCAGGGTCCCAGTTACATCCAACAAAAACACAAATTGTAAAGAAAAACATTAGTAAGATCTGAGTCATGAACTAAGAATATACTATATTCACTAAACTAAGAATACACAAGACTAAGAATTAGGGGTGCACCGATTGCAGTTTCCTGGCTGATCACCGATCACCAATTTCTAAAAAGTCTGACCTGCCGATTCCGATTTTGGCCGATACCGATTTTGTTTTATAAGCGACAATGTCAGGTGTTATAAGATCACAATGCACCTTCAATTTTCCAATCTTATTTTATTGAAAAACATACCCTTAAACAATATCCTAGAACAATACAAACTTGTTTTAACTGGCCATGAGGTAGTGCTCTGAAATATAAATGAAGTTCAGAAAATTGTTGTTAAAACTAAAAAAAATCTGTAATATCGGTTTCTCATGCAAGTATTGGCCGATTTCTGATTTCCCAAAATTAAGGAAATCGGTGCACCCCTACTAAGAATGCACTAAGAACTAATAGAACAAAAACAGTTGCTTAGAGAAGAACTTAGTCCTAGTGTGATTAGTTTGTCCATCAGGGTCTGGGGGATCATGATGTTGAAGACAGATGTGAAGTCCACAAAGAGCATACGGACGTAGAAGTCCTTCTGTTCCAAGTGGGTGAGAGCAGTGTGGACCACAGAGGAGATGGCATCTTGTGTTGATCGATTGTCGCGGTATGTGTACTGGTGAGGGTCCATGTTAATGTTGATGTTGGTTTTGATGTGGGTCATGACCAGTTTTTCAAAGCATTTAGTGAGTGTCGGGGTCAGGGCTACCGGCCGATAGTCATTCAGACCAGTCACTGTAGAGCTCTTTGGGACTGGGATAACAGTGGCAGAGAGAAGAGTTAAATATGTCAGCCAGCACCTCGCAGATCTGATCAGCACAGTTTTTCAGCACCTTCTACGGGATGTTGTCTGGGCCAGTTGCCTGTGAGGACTGATCCTCCTGAAAGTACTCCTTACTTCTGCTGACGTTATGCTAAGAAACTCTTCTTCTTGTGATAAAGTGAGTCTGGTGCTGGGTGGTCTGTAGAAGGAAAGATCAATAAAAGTTATGAAGTGTGGAAATTGTGGTGGCACCAAGATAGGAAGGAACCTGTACTTTTTTTGTTTGTTTTAATATTTCCATGCAGGTAGACAAAACAGATAAAAAACATTTTTTGTGTCTCCATTGTAATGCACTGTGTAATTTTGTGTTGTGAGGCAGCATGATGGGCAGCACGGTGGCACAACTGGTAGAGCTGCTGCCTCTCAGCGAGCAGGTCCTTGGTTCAAACCCCGGTCCAGGGGCCTTTCTGGGTGGAGTTTGCATGTTCTCTTCGTGCATGCGTGGGTTTTCTCCGGGTGCTCCAGTTTCCTCCCACAGACCAAAAGCATGCATGTTAGGCTGATTGTTAAGTCTAAATTGTCCCTAGGTGTGAATGAGAGAGTGAATGGTTGTTTGTCTCCTTTGTCTATATGTGTCCCTGTGATGGACTGGAGACCTGTCCAGGGTGTACCCCGCCCCTCGCACAGTGATTGCTGGACATGGGCACCAGCGACCCCCGTGACCCAAAATGGAATAAGCGGGTAAAGAAAATGGATGGATGGATGAAGACTGCATGATGCCATGTCATATTTTGTTATGAGTAGGTCTGTCACTAAATTAAAAAAAGTACCCACGCCCCCGCCTCTAAATTCACTGTTGGTGGTTTTCAAAACTGCACCTGTTCATTGGG